AGTCTTGCATGCGATCATTATAAGAGACACCAAGATTTGTGATGAATCGGTCATCAAGATGTTTCACAATCAACTCAAGTAGGTTGCAGTATATATATACTGCAACCTACTTACATTAGACTGTTACCTACTTATGATTAGACTGTTACCTATTTATGATTAGACTGTTACCTACTTATGATTAGACTGTTACCTAATTATTTTTGGGTACCCGTTTTGGTATCTAGTTGGCTTGATATTTGTTTCCTTTCGATGATGTTTTCGGCTTTCTTTAGCCCTTTGATTGCTTTCATCACCCGAGGCTAGGCGCGAAGTTCCGATTGTGGGGGCTATGCCCGAACTGGATGCAAAGCATCCTGGTTTGCAAATGCACAATGGTATAATTATTAATAAATTAGACTATTTCGTGACCAAATTGTACATTGATCGAGTAGTCTAATAAATTGCTACTAAAACTTATAAATAGAACCTCTATCCCCCACTTTGGACCAAAAAAACCAATTCGTAAAAAATACGAATCTCCTATACCACTATAAATAATACCACATTTCCTAGGCGAACTGCCAACTTTTTCGATTGCGAGGATGAGACACAAAGTGTCGAATTGGCAATCTGTATTTTGGCTTTGTATGTTGCATTCGAATTCGAGGATGAGGCACAAAGGGCCGAAATAGTATTCGTGATCTGGCTTGCATGTCGCATTTGAATATCGATTAAGGATGAGGCATGTAGTGCCAAATTGTTAGCAGTTGTTAGCTTCGTATAATTCACTCAAGTATCAATCGAGGATGAGGCACGTAGTGCCGAATTGTTAGCAGTTGTTAGCTTCGCATAATTCATTCAAATATCACCCAATGATGAGGCACGTAGTGCCGAATTGTTATCACTTATTTGGTAATACGTAAAACCACAATTTTTTCTTATCTCTTCCTTATAATATTCTGCCTTTACGTATTACCACGAGTATGCTATGTTTTGGGTCTCTAGAAGCCTTTCTCGCATAGTCGATACTTTTGGGTGCTACCACTTCATGTCAAAATTCGTCCTATGTTTTCTTGTTTTACTATCGAAAAATTTATTCTTACTTTTGCGTATTACCACATCAAAAAATTTATTGCACTTTTACGTATTACCACATCGAAAAATTTATTGCACTTTTGCGTATTACTTTTGACATATTACCTTTACGTATTACTGGATTAAAAAATTGGATCATACTTTGACGTATTACCTTTACGTATTACTGGATCGAAAAATTTGTTCTTACCTTTGCGTATTACCACATTGAAAAATTGTTCATACTTTGACATTTTACCTTTACGTATTACCAAATCAAAAAATTTGTTTGCACTTTTGCATATTACCTTTTCGTATTACCGCATCGAAAGATTGGGTACTTTTGCATATTACTTTTTTATCTTGGTCAAAATTATGCAACACAAAAACCCCCTTTATATGATCTAGGTATTGGAATATTAATTTTTTTGATTTGAATTTTCTGCATACTTATTGTAAGAAGTGCTTACCTGAGATGAATAACTAGCCGAACGTAGCAATTTCTCTGCTTCAGAAATTACTATTTAGCTATATATATTCAATAAGAGCTAAAGATCGATTTTTCAGCTCTTTTTTATGCGGAGTAGTGGGAACTTTCATTTTAGCCTCGAAGTTGCGTTTATATTCCAAGAAAGTGACCTCATCCATGCTCTCGCGCTCTTTTTTCTTTTTTTCTCTCAAGTTCGAAAAAAAAAGTGATACTCTAAGGTATATTTAACTAATTCTCATTAATAATTTTTTTTAAATAATATAAGTAATATGCATATTCTATACTATTATTTATATCTAGAGTAATTGATTCTTCATTACTTTGAAGAAAATTTATAAGCTTTGATTTTACGTCATTTTCAATTTTCTGCCAATTTGATTTAGCAAAGCTAGATTCACTAATGCTATCTTGAGAATTCATTTTTGTATAATATCCATTTCAAAGAATTTTTAAAAATTAATAAATTCATTATCTGATCCACGTATCCCATAGCCTATCACTTTTTTTATTGCGGAGCAATGGCTCTTCGAGCCTACCTATATTCCATGTACGTCTCAATATAACGAACCACATAACCACAATAATTAACAAGGTAAGTAACATATATGCTGATAGCGGTGACATCAAAGTGCTTGCTACAATGGGAATTGTTCCTATCCCTTCTATTGAAATCTGAGGATGCGGTTCAGTCAATGAGGGAGTATAATTTTCCGGCTGTGCAAGGTATGGAGTCACATTCTTTATTTCTTGAGATTGGGGTATAATATCCTCACCAATTTCATTAATGCTGGTTTCATCACTTACTTTGGAATTAATCTTGGTATCATTTTTTGGTAGTTTGGTAATCTCATCATTGGTATATGTCGAGATATTACCATCAATTTTTTCTATTGGATCCATATTTTTTCTGCGTACAAAATATTTACTTAGATCATTATCCTTGATTATATTTTTTTCGTCATCTCCACCAACTATGGGTTTTGGTATAGTCTCCGATTTCAAACGCTCAAGCTCACTAATATTCGAAACCAATTCGTTCTTTAGATCTACCAATTCAGACTTGAGAGCCACGATCTCAGATTCTTTTTTCGATGAGTCGTTTTGAATAGAAATCACATCTTTCTGGGCTGAAGATAACTTACTTTCCAATATCTTAACCATAGACTCAAGCGATCTAATTTTCTTGGATTCATTCTGAGTTGAAGATAGTTTCGTTTCTAATATTTTTATCTTAGACTGGAGATCTTTTATCTTGATTTTAGATTCATTAAGGGAAATATCTTTGCGGGTAATTTGATATATTAAACTATTTATTTCTGAGTTCAATCGCTTAACCTCCTCTATAAGCTGGTAGGCCTGCTTGGTAAGTATCTCTTTATCTTTACTGGTTTTATTTAGATCACGTTGCAATTGTGCTTTATCCTGTTTAATATTTTTACTAAACTCTGAATATACTTTCCGATAGTTTTTTAAATCCTTAATAAGTTCAGAATTAGTCTTACAACTATCACGTAAAGCTTCTTCAAGTTCTACCTCCCTAGTACTTCCAAGTCAATACCCTTTTGGGTTAATATCTCGTAATGTGCGTATATTAGCCATGTATTTTTTCTCATATATGTATAACAAAAATATATTAAATATTTATATCAATAGGTATCAATAGGCATCAATCTTAGGTAACAATAGGTATCAATAGGTATTAATATATATGAATACATATAATACTCATCAATAGGTATCAATACGTTTTGAAAAATTATTGAAACTTTTTTTTTTCTAATACATATATATCTATCTTAAGATGCTTACCCATATTCATCAAAAATTTTATCGATCCAATGCGACTCATTTATCTGAATCTGTTATTATAGAAATTAGAGAATCAAGGGGGAAGATACCAAATGCATCAAAAAGAATGGCAGAAAAATTTCATATTGGTGCTCGTCGTGTTTATGAAATATGGGAGCACAATGAACGTTTACAACAAGATCTTAATTCTCCATCACCTTCTGATTCTGATAACTCTTCTATTTTAAATGATTTTAAAAACAAGAAATCTTCAGCTATTGAGTCATCAATTAAAAAAATAAAATCCAAACCTGTTCGTATTTTGAATCAACCTTCTATTAATAAAAATTTAACCGGAAAGTTAAGCGCAATATCATTAGAAGTAAAAAAAGAAACTATACTACCTGAAACTTCGCAAGAAACTGAAGATCCTTTGGAATTCTATAAGAGAACACAAAAAGAGATTAAAAAAGTTAGAGCGGATGCACGTGCTGATATTTCTAAAGTATCAACTTCTAATCTAAAAGTATAGAATTGATTTCTTCTTTATACTTATTACGTAAATCATTATAATATCCGATAAATTCTGAATTGGTTTGAACACTAGTAAATAGTGCCTTTTCAAGTTCCTTTACATGAATGGTCATACTTTCACAATCTACGCATTTTTTTTTTAAAGTTGAATCTGTATCTTCAGAAATAGATGGAATTGCATTAACATGATGTACCTCAATCTTATTTTCAACCTTGTGCATCGTAACTGGGATGTAAAAATCTTTTCCATTGCAATGAAGTTTCATTTCGGATTTAGGCCAATTCATTATACATTCATGTTTTTCAAGGAAGGGATTACTCAATATAACCATAGACTTGTCATATTCAATGACTGCAAAATCTAAATGAAATACACAACCAGGAGCTAGGGTTAATGGTACGTTATAAACCATTCCAATAGATTTGGTTAGGACAGTGGCCGCCCCCTTGAAATAAAACACTGCACTTTTATCGATTTTTAAACCCAAGCGTTCAGCAATGTCCTTAGACATAAGTAAAGTATTAGCGCCGGGATCGACTGTAATGGCAGAAAGCACTAAACGATTGATTTTACCCCTCACAGTTGGAACATCTATTGCATCTTTATCCTTGACAAAGTTAATTTCCATATCTTTGATAATTTCTTCATCCTCGGTATCTTTGCTTTGTTGGGAAGTATGATTTGCGGTACTAGATTTCTGAAAATTTCGTAAGATTTTACTTATAGCCTCCTCTAATAAAGTGGAATTTACAAGCTCGCTTTGAATTATCTCACGAATTCGTCTCTCTAGTAAAGTCGAAGTGGAATTTTGCGATCCTTGAAGAGGGGTGAGTTGAAGACTCGAAGCTTTGCTTCCTCGATTCTCCTTACCCTCTGAAAAATATGTATCTTTCTTGTCTTTGGATCGGGATTGTTTATCAGATGTTTTCTTAATGAGTACTCTAGGTTGATCTATTTTTTTTTAATTCTGGATACATTAACATTGGATTCCTCATCAGGTACATCATCATCAATTTCATCATTGCCTTCTTGATCAGAAATAGCAGATTCATCAGGAAATTCTTCTGTATCAGAGTGGCTTTGTTGGAATCCATCAGCAAAATTCACACGACCGGTTCTTTTTCTAGAATTATCAACCATCATATTCTTAATTATGGGACAACTGCGGTAAGTATGGCCTAGCTTTTTACAAATTTCGCATTTTCGTGAGGGTGGTCTAGTATTTACTCTAGGAGTTCTGACCATATTTATTGTCAGATTCGGGGAGCTGGGCAATCCTTCAAGTTGATCTAATTTATTAGCAATATTGACTATTGCATAATCAATTTCCATTGGTTCGAAAACTCTATGATCCTCAGTCTCAAGACCCAATTCCACGTAATTTTTTAACTCTTCATAGTATTTTGCTTTCTCAGTTTTTGGACGGAAATTTTGATATTCATATATTGGAGGATTTGTAATTCGTTGATGTGGTTGAGATTTCGGTTGCTGAACAATTTGCTGGGGAGGTTGGAGCACGGGTTGCTGAACAATTTGCTGGGGAGGTTGGAATGCGGGTTGTTGAACAATTTGCTGAGGCGGTTGGAATGCGGGTTGTTGTACGATTTGTTGGGGTATCTGAGACATCATCCCATTCATATTATTCGCACTTCCATAATTAAACGAAGAAGGCCTACGTTTAAGCCACAAATTTTTGAGATGAGTAAAGAATGCATTAATTTCCGTGGGATTTGCACGTTCCATCCTGGTGAAAAGTTCATTTGGTAAATGATCCATAATAAATGACAAGGCATTAGCATCATTATTAGCAACTCCTAATAATAAGGGACGTATCCTAGTCTCATATGTATCTGGTGTATCATTAGGTAAAAATTTTTCGTAAGCTAGCCTCTGGAGAGCAACTTGTTGTGTCCCAACTGTTTCTATCTGATATTTATGACATACCCATTCGTATAAGCGAGCTGGAGTATCAATATTATTTCCAGCATGTTGATTGGGTACATCTGCATATTTTTTACCCAGTTTGCTCTTCAAGATCGCAACTTTATGAGCATCATCAATTTGTGTTACTGCGGGATATGATAATATGGCATTAATTCCATTATACCATTCGTCAGGTTGAACCTGTCCATTATAAAATTCAACATTTGCAAGTAAAGGTGCAATACCAGTCAAGTCACCTATAGGTGTCGCCATATTTGGTGGATTATTCTGAAGCGCTAAAATTTGTTGATTTAAATTTATAATTATTTGCCTCGAACCTTTTTCCTTATTTTCCCATTTTTTGTGTTTCGCCTTTTGCTTGATATGTTTACCTTTTCTCTTTGCATGCTTTCTACGCCAATCTTGTAAATCGGCTTGACATGTTTGCAATTTTCCCGTCTGGAAATTGTGGGCCTGGTTAATAAGATCAAAATTATTATTTGTATTAGTCAACTGACCTTGTAATTGAGTTAACTGATTGGTTAAATTACCGATTTGTTGATAATAGACCTGTGATTGGGTATTTTCCCACTCAGCTATATCTCGAAGCCTAGTCACAGCATTTTTAATATCGGTAAATTCCTTTTCTATAGTAGATCGTGGGATAGCAGGTGTTCTCCGTAATATAACATCAATATTCCTGAATGCATTTCGAACAGATTCAGCTGTGGTCTGGTATTCATTGGGTCCTGGCACTTGAATTGTTTGAGCTATTACAGGTTTATTATACTTCCGAGAGGTAATTTTTCGGATTCTATTTTTTAACTTGATCACTTCCTCTTCAAGTATAGCCAACTGTTGTTCTCGAACAAGTATATAACTCTCTGTTTTATCTACATCCTTTAAAGCAGACCGAAGACGTTTTTTCAAGATCGGAAACTTGGGATTTGAGTTCCTGTACTTCTTTTTCGTAAGTAATGATTGTGGTATCCTGAAATGAAATGGTTCTACTGCATTGCTCTAACTCTTTTATGAGAACGTGAATTTTTTTCTCATTTGTTTGATTTATGTCTACTTCTTTAGCCAACTCTTTACGCAACTCTTGATTAGTACCTAGCAGTTGTAAGTACGCAGGATCGGTTTGGAAATTCATCTCAAAAATTCAGCCTTGGTT